ATAAAGCTTTTTTTCCCCAAGCAGAATCAGTCAGAATGCACTGCTGTGCAAAACACTTTCGCTTTGCCAAAAATATGTGTGTGTGTGTAAGAGAGTTAGTTGGGTTTTCTTGTTTGTTTGGGAAAGTTAATGGATCTAACATGTACCCGTGGTGGAATGCCAGCTTTGGCTGAGGTCCTCTACAGGAAGCATGTGGTAGAGGTCATGCTCTGGCACTTAGTTCTGCTATGGGGCAAAGTGCACTACTGGCAGCATGGCGTTCATAACCGATGCAGAGCGTCATCAATCATCATGCTAACATGATCCCAGCGACAGGCATCCATGAACATACTGAGAACAAGTACACCATCCTGTAGCTCTGGTAACTGTTTTAACAGATAACCATACTGAAGGGAATTATATTTTTTTTAAATTTATTTACTGGTAAAAAAAAAAGTAAACACAAAATTAATTAGTTAGGGATTACAGAAGCTGTATAATAAAAAAGAAAATGTGAAATAAATCTAAAACTGTTTTTTATCTTTTATGCAATTTATTTTCATGAATAGAGATTTACAGTTTAAAGTTGGCAGGATGGCTGATAATTTGAAATGTTATTCAAATTAGTCAGGTCACATCCTGTTTGGCTGGGTTTGATGTCCACTATTTATGGGACTTTAGAGGACATGCCAAATGAATCTGTGATCCAACAAAGAAATTAACTGTGTATATCTAAACATGAATAGATGAATAAATAACTGTGATCATTATTGTACCAGTGCTGCATGATTCATCTTAGTTCAAGTTCATTTGGAGAAATAGCTGGTATTTACAGAAAGTAATGTTTTTCTACGAACAAAATTGTTTTCTTTTTCTTGAGCCAGAAATAACACACACTAACTACAACCATATGTAGTCTAGTCAACGATAGTGGATAACAGATTTAATCTGACAATAGGTTCTATGCATGGTGCAGTCACCACACATCAGATTTAGGGATTCAGGATGAAGGTACTTCCATAAGTAAATAAATAATAAATAACCAAACAAGATAAACATACATATATAATACAAACACAATATATCGGGTTCTTGCAGCTTTCGCGTTAACATTTTTCTCTGACTAATTGAAATGCTTGCCTCTTTCTTTTTTCTGAAAAAAAGAAACAAGAAAGAAAGGAAGGAAGCTGACTGAGGGCTCATTATGGCTAATGGTATATAACATTTTTATCCTCAAACCAGAATTGGCAATCTTGTGCAGGCTGGTAGGTATTTTGGTTGCAATGACTCTAATTGGAATCATACTACAGTGTAACACAGACAATTTGAAACATGATTCTGTTTTTAGTGTAAAAATGTGGCATACAAGAAAATTAATTGCAGACATTTTATCTAGCTAAGTTAAGCTAAACTAATACATGGAGCAACAAACTTTAACCAAGTTCTGCAGAGAAGTCTAATTGAAGTTATAAAATTAATCTTTTAGCATTTTTCTTTAATTCTGGATCTTTTATTCTGCATTTCAGTACCTCTGTTGTTATTAGCAAGAAAATAATGCTTAAAATATTAATATTTTAAGGCCTGAGGAAGGAATCTTGAAGTCTTGCAAGGAGAGATAAATAAATGTGTGCACCTTTAAGTAATGTTTTATGCTGTATGTTGCATTACAGGCATCCTGACTCTGACTCAATTTGCATTGGCAAAGTTAAGTAGATTTTCTCTTCTAAGGTAGTCAACATGTGCTGTCTAGCTCAGCGGTTACCCATTGCCTTATGAACTAATGCGACTTTTCTCTGTTTTTCTCGTGTGTCCGTTTGTGTGTGTTTAAGTAAATTTTAGGGAATGTGCAATACACATGTTCAGACCAGTCTTACGGAAGAGCAGCTTAAGTCAGGGGAGATGAACCACATGCTGAAATAGGGTGTATATGGAGATGGAAAGAGAGCAAGAGAGAAGAGTAGGAAACAGAGAGATGTGCTGTGCCTCAGGGATGAACTAAGAGTGTGTATGTGTTACTACCATTTTTCAACCTAATGAGATAACACACATATCAAACATACACAAATGCACGTTTGCATGCATGCACACACGTACACAATCAGACTAATACGCACAGCCAAAATTTTCTCTATCATATCAGTGTCTGTGAGTCACTGACAAAGAGAAGCCTGAGCTCAAAGAAGACTTTTCAGTTGGCTTCATACAACCTCACAAAATACTCACTAAACTTGTAAACTTGTGTGTTTGGGTGTAAATATGTGTATCTCTTTCAATTGTGGATAAAAGGAGTTCTGGGGACCATTTCTCTAACCGTAGAAAACAGGAGTTTGTACGGTGGGTGGGAACCTGGTTGTTCAGACAACTTCTGAGGCGATCTGCACCAATTAAATGTCTGTATTTACATGGGATTTGACTCTCATGCTGAGAACTCTTGAACTGGGGTGCTTCCTGTCCCGAAGCAGTTGTGTGGGAATTAAGGTGGCCATTATTGTCTCGGATAAACAGTGTTTCAATGGCTTCATTCATGTCCAGACACTCTGCACAAGTCAAGCACAAAGAGACAAAACACAGCATGGTGCATTGAAAACATGGGAAAAAACATTTTGAAATTGTCTTTAGCACAATACAAAGTCAACAATAACTAAGACGTATGTGGAGGTGTATCTGTGTGAGTGTCAATGTAAATGGGTACTGCACTTTGGCTAGCATCCGTTCGGCAACCTCGTTAGTTTTAGTTCCATGTTATGCTGCAGAATGAGGAATAATATCCACTATGGTACTAATGAGAGTTATAGTTTCTTGGGATTGTAGAGGCAAACACACACATGCACATACTGATGTATTGATATTTTACAGTAGCAATCTCTTACTGTCTTAATAAAAATGCGTTTATAACAATCCATAAACTTGGTGAGCCACTCTACATTAAATTATAAAAAGGACCATAAATAATTTCTTGTAATCCTTGTAAAGTGAAACATTCCACACATTCCCCATATCAAAACAAACAACAAACTACGTAAAACATTTACCCATATGATTCTATCATGAACTATAAAAATGACAGCACGCACAGTGATATATTTAGATGCAGTCATATAGTATATCAAGTATTAAGTGTTCCTGTATAGAAACCCTATGTGTACATACACATGCCTATATATAGGTCAGGCCAAGCAGGAGAGTTTCTGGAGGTTAAAAAAAACAAAAGGCCTTTGGGGATTGCCCTGAGGTAGCGTTGGTTCCAGGCACTTGTGCTCCACATGTGATGTCACCTGGTGAGAACAAAGGGCACATAATGCACAACGGTCTCGTCGCGTTTATGGATGAAAATGATAGTTGCTTTAATGACAACCCCTGCTACAGTGTCAGCCCGAGTCACTCATAATCTTATTGAGAATCAACATGACAGAAAAAAAGGTTATTCGTGGCATTAAACAAAAAAAATTAAATAACACATTAAATAAAAATGTCAAGCAAATATAGATATATTTACTCAGACATATGCAATATCCATTTTTATGAAACCCAGACTTTTGAAAGAAGTTGGATGCAGGTCATTCAATTAAAGCTCTTCTGACTTCTAAGTTTTTTTTCCCCTCTTCAAGGACTTATTACATCACTCTTTTTCTTCAAATCATCTTTATTTTATCACCTTTGGAAAGTTTTTTGTTTTTCAATTTGTGCATGCTTTGCAAGTTATATTGGTCTGCCTGCAGTGTATGCTTGGTAATTTTGCTTTGTTTCCATGCTATAACTCCATAAGTGTGTGTGGCCCATCTACCATATATTTATAATGACGTAGATTGGGGCCCTGGGTTCTTTTCTCTTATTACAGTATGAATTGAAACTCAAGATTATGTAACTTAAATTACCCCCAGAAAATAAATACAAATTAATAATGCACTAGGATCATATGCTTGAATGACTTACATCTCATGGCAATACGCAAATATTTTTCACCATAAACAAAATGAACCTACTGAGTACTTAAACTTAAAAGTGTCTGTTCACTGATTCTAATAAAAAAAAAAATAAAGTCCACTTTTGTTTAGTTGTTCAACTGAAATTTCAGAGTAATTTCATCAATTAACAATAACTATCTTATTTTAAGCCGTTAAAACAACATAAGGGAAAGTAAAAGTCGCAGGACTGAATCGTAGCTGGGGATCGTTGTGACCCCAAACTTAATGGTCGCTTCGCTCCATCTGAAGTAAACAAACGGGGTAGTAGCTTTGGAAAGTCACTTGTCCAGCAGAGAAGACTCTGGCAAGCAGGCCTCAACTCCGAAGCATCGCAGAAGCTCTCAAGAACAGCTGCAGAATATATGGGGTGTGTCTGGGCCACTTTGGGCACTGCGTGTTTGCTGTCCACTTTCAGGCCACCAAAATGTCCAAACAGGGCAACTAGCTGCTCACAGTCTGGATGTTCTGCCAGTTAGCCACCACTTTATCAATAAACAGTAAACTTCCATGCAGCAGACTTCAGGTCGACATTCGCTGCTTTGCAATGCCAAATAGTTCCTGGGTTATCTAACCGACAACCCAAAACGTTTGCAGTAGAGCTGGGCGATAGAACGATAACGATATGTATTGCGATATAACTTCTTCTCGATAGGAAAATACAACTATCGCGATAGACCTCATCTCTCTCTCTTCCTCTTTAAAAAAAAAAGAAAAAAGGCAGCCAATCCAAATTAAGTAGCGCAGAGCCGAACCAATCACAGCCGCAGCTCACGTCACGTGACTTGTTACGTACAGCACAAGTGCCAAGCGCGCACGTGGTATTTGTTTGCGAAGCAGCTAACCGCCGTGCGACGGTAGATGGAGAAAATGAGTGACCAAGTAGAGAAAAATCAACCGAGAGAACGGAAGAGAACACAGATGACGGCTCGAATGCCGAAGAGATTGTCGAAAGGAAGGGCCGAAAAGTTCCGTAGTGTGGAGATATTTCGGCTATTTGAAGTCCGACAAAAAACAGAGTAGCACGCACTGTAAGTTGTGCCGAACAGCATGTTCCCACCAAGTCTGGAAATACAACAAACCTTTTTCATCACCTGAAGCAGTGCCACCCACTAGAGCATGCTCAATCTCTGACTGAAAGTGCTAATTTGTCATCGAAAACAACCAGGGGAATCCCTGCGAAGCAGCAACAGTCAATTGTGTCGGCTTTCTCCAGCGTCTTACCATATGACAAAAAAGCTAAGAGACATAGCGACATAACGAATGCCATAGCCTACTGTCCTGCTAAAGACATGCTACCAATAAACACGGTTGAAAATGAAGGATTCAAGCAGCTAATTAAGGTACTGGATCCTCGTTACCAACTCCCTGGACTTAAACATTTCTCTCAGACAGCGCTTCCAAAGCTATATAGAGAGCGCCGTGAGGCTGTAGAAGGAGCTACAAACTGTATCGTTCTTCGCTACTACATCCGACATGTGGTCAAGTCGCACGTCAGAACCTTACCTTAGCCTTACTGCCCACTATATCGACCAAGACTGGAATCTGAAAAGCAAATGTCTTCAAACTGCCTACCTTCCCGACGACCACACGGGTGAAGTAATTGCATTAGGACTGTCGGAAGCGTTTGCATCCTGGGGACTGAGTGAAGACAAACAAGTCTGCATCACAACCGATAGTGGGACAAATATAGTGAAGGCCACATCCCTGAATAACTGGACCCGGTTGCAGTGCTTCGGACATCGACTTCACTCAGCTATCGGTAAGTTGGGAAGCAGAATAAAATTAAAAATGCCTTTTTTAATTGTGTTTTTGAGCCCATGTAAATATATTAAAAGCTAGAGATCTAAATCACTTCCATGATTATTGTTAAAAAATAAACATCAGAAAGAATATTCTTCATGTCAGCCTATTTATTTGAGGTAATAGTTGCTGTTGGCATGCATAATAGGCAAATATTCAGTCACTCTTTAGTGTAAATCAAGTTGACAAAATGTGTCAAATAAAATTTAGAATTTTGGGATTCTATCAGGATCCCAATTGGCTAATACAGAACCTCAGCTCTTTTTCCTATAAAGAACATTAAATTATGATTCCACCAAATAGGGCAATTCAAGACAAAAAGAACAAGTGATGAAAACGTCAAATATAACAATGATGTTGATAACACCAGCCTCTGTCACCTTTCTAAATATAAGAAAAAAAAATTTGGACAGTCTGTCAGCAAAATTTAAAAAAGTAAAAGTACAATAAAAAAAAGTACAATCATAGCAAGTAAGTGGGTTTTCAGGGCAGTGAATTTTATTTGTGACTGAAAAAAAAAATCAAAAATCTTAAATTAATTTCTGAGGTTAATATGTTCTATTATTTACCTTTTTATCCACAGAAAAAGCCGGCAAAGACAAGAGGGTGGAGCGAGCTGTGGCCGTGTGTAAGAGAGTGGTGGCCGCCTTCAGTTTCTCTTGTAAGAAGAAAAGGGAATTGGCTGCTGCTCAGGAGGAGCTTCACCTACCCCAGCACAAGTTAGTGTAGAGTCACCCACCAGATGGGGCTCACGCCAAAAAATGGTTGGGAGGGTTCTGGAGCAACATAAAGCTATCTCTCAGGTCCTCAGTGCAGATAAGAAGACCAGGCACTTGGTTCCCTCCTGGCAAGATCTAGATGTTCTGGAGTCTGTGCATGTGGCCCTGAACCCACTACTGAAATTCACAGATTCACTTTCTGGAGAGTGTTACGTGAGTGTGTCCTACCTCAAGCCGATGCTTCACCTTTTCAGAACACAGATTCTGAAACCATCTGAGGATGAAACACAACTTACAAAAGACCTTAAGATGACAGTCATGACATACCTTGATGAAAAGTACAATGACCAGATTACAAATGAACTGCTTGATGTTGCAACCCTGGTAGATGTAGTACAATACATTAATGCAGAACACGTTGATGCCATCAAAATGAGAGCAGTGTCTGAGATGTTGGGGCAAATTGAGCACCCGTCCACTTCAGCTGGAACGGAGGAAACAGAAGATGGTGGAGCTGCTGCAGTACTACCAACCCAGAAGAAACAGAGAAAGTCACTGGGCAGCTTCTTTAAGAAATCCCACCCCACCAGCACAGGGCTCACTGAGAAGGAGACAGTTGAAAAGGAGCTTGAAAAGTACTTGCTGGCACCTGATGCAGACAGTGAAATGGACCCACTTGAGTGGTGGAAAATCAACAACAGAAGCTTCCCAAGAGTTAGCTGCCTGGCAAAGCGCTACCTGTGCATCCCCGCAACCAGCAGCCCCTCTGAGAGGGTATTTAGTACAGGGGGCAATATTGTGACTTGCCACAGGGCCGCTTTAAAGCCTGAAGCAGTGGATAGACTTGTCTTCCTGTCCCACAACCTGTAGGCTTTTTTCAGACTAAAGTTTTATATATATATATATATACATACACACACACATACATACACACGTGTGTGTGTGTTGCACCTTGGATGTGTACCTAGGATTTAAAGAATGTTCTGTTAGCATCTTTATTTTAAAACTGTTGGAAAAGCTAAGCTATACAACAAGGAGAGTGAGAATTTCCTTTTAGTTCTCAGTTCATTTGATATTGACAAAAGTTAGTTAGTCAATTTTGTCTGTTCTTCTGTAAAACAAACTAAGATTTATTTTTAGAATTAATATTTTGTTTCCAAGTAGAATTGACAATTTAGTAGTCTGTTTTGTTTGTTCTATTTTCAAACTTAAACGCTTTAGCGGCTGCCTTTTGTGTAGTTTGCAATATTTGCCTCTATTTATCTGAAACTGAAGTTTCATTTTCCTTAAGTACATCTGCCCTGTTTAACTTATTATGGGAAATAAATATTTAAATCAAAACAAGCTGCTGATTATTTCACATTTTACTTGTGAGCAACGGCACATTTAAATCTTACAAATTTAGTTATTTGGCTTATATCATGATATATATCGTTATCGCCTGAAATGAAAAAAAACATCGTGATATGAAAAACTCTTATATCGCCCAGCTCTAGTTTGCAGTCATAAACTGTAGCTTTAAATCACCACAGGATGCCTCTCGTATCTGCGTTAGCTCCTCTAGTCGTCTCACTTTGCCTGCTCCGAGACGAGACGCCACACGTCTGTCTAGTTCACCTCCACTGGGACAAAACTGAATTATCAAAGTAACACGTTTTTTTAAACAAAATAAATATAACCTTTATATTCTTATCATTTTAATCATGGATTGCATCACACAACAAAGCATACATTTAACTCTTTTTAACTTTGCAATATTTATCTTTTATGAACTGCGTATTTATAACAGTTTCCTCTTTCTTTCTTTTTTCTTTCTTTTTTTTTTACTAAGCTACATATGTATTTTCTGTCTTTGGTCCCTTTGAGCAACAAGATGCTCTAAAAGATGCTCTATATTGCCAAGCCTTTCAATATCTTAAAATTCAAATGAATGTCTGAAATCAGGAGAGAAGTAAACCTAAATAGGTACTTTAGAATTCGTGTAAAGAACGAAGTGTGTTAGATAGGAGGACATGGTGGGTATGTTGAAAAAAATGGGTTTTATTTACCCTAAAAATGAAAAAGAAATATACAAAATGACTTAACACTGGGCACTTAAAAAAAGTCAAATGAACAGAACTAAACTACAGTCAAAATAAAAACTTCACATAACTTGAAGCTAACTGCTGTACAAAATAAATCTGATCTAACACACAAGAAATTAAGGGGATTTGAATACTGGCTGATGAGACCAGGTTGATGCATAAGAGGAATACTAACAAACTATTTAACAGTGAAGAAACAAAAACAACAGTTAGTCTCATAGTTACTTCAAATAAGTAAAACTAAACACAAGACTAAGCAAAAAATGCATCTCACAAGTCAAAGAAAATTTAAGATGAGTCAGCAATCAGCGATCAACACTTCCTGTATATAACTGCACGGCATTCCAGAACACAATTTTTGCTCTTCATAGCACCAGCAACCCTCAGCAGCCACATGGACCTTCAAGCACCAGTAAAAGAAAGAAATTAAAAAATGAATGTAGCTATATTGAATGTAAAATACATAAAAAAGGACTATGTGCCATTATATTTGTGTGTCTAAGACATGTTACCAATTTCAGAGTTGTGTGGCTGCATGTGTGCCAATCACAATTCTAATTACATTTATTAGCAAAAGTAAAGTAATTAATCTTCTACTTCTACCATGTCTCTTGCAAACCATGATCTGATTTTTTATTTATGCTAAAATGTTTTAAATCATTTTAATTGCACTACGTACACTTAACTGCAACTGAACTTAACGGAATTGAAAAAAAGATTCATTCTGATTGAAATCTGGAAACAGTGACAAGAAAGAGACAAAAAACCAACTCAATCTCCGTGTACAAAGAAAAGAAGATGGAATACTCAAAACAGAATTGGCTATATTACAAAAAAGATCAAAAGAAAACAATTTTATATTACATTTAAGATTCAAACACTTAAAGTCCACAGTTTTTGTAAAAACACTCAGTTATGTAAGGCAGTGAGAAATGGAATGAATGATCAGACTAATCTCTGCAGCAAGCTGCAGGCATGTTAAAGCTGGCAGTGTCTTTTTTTCCTTTGCACTGCTCCTTCAAAAGGAGGAAAGACAATACACCATGCTTTGTTTGAGCCTAAATTCTTCCCCTCAAAGGATGCATGGCTCTGGCAATGATTGTTAGAATTAAAGATTAAACCAATAAAACAGGAGTGTAATAACAATGAGAGACATCAATTTGATGTGGTGCGCTCTACTGAGACTGAACCACATAATTATTTGGAGGTGTAATTGAAAACCAGATTAGGGAAGCAAATGAACATCAAAAATATGATTAGAACTGTTAATGAAAGGGATGCCAGCTTCTTTTTTATAATAACTTTGAAAGTGTCTGTTATCATTAAGGACAAACAATATGAAAATGATATGACTAAATCCAGCTGAAACTTAATTTCTGTCTGTTTTCAGACGATATTAGAAGATTAAAACTACAATTAATGAGTTTCAATGAGTTTGAAAATTCATAACTGAACAAATGATATAAAGAGAAAATAAACAAATATATATATAGAATTTAGAGCAAAGCCCCGTTCGAGTGCCCTCATGCAAAAAGCTTCAAGCAGGCTTTGGCATGTATGGGGGCATCTGTTTTTGTTTTGTTTTTTCATTTTATTTCTATAAACACAGTCAAGAGGAAGAGAGCAGCAAAAGTTCACTGAGTGAGAACTGAACAAACACGGGACCACAGCTGCAGAACAGAGTGAAATTGTGTTACAGAACTGTTCTGCTTTGTGAAATCAGCAAACACTTTGTATTGTGATGCTCATAATCTGTGGTATTTACAAAACAACAGTGTAGTGTCTGTTCCACACAACACAGCAATGATGGAAGCAAATATAGTGATCAAAAAGAGCCTGTTTCTTTTTGTTTAAAGCTGAACGATCTAAAGTTTCATATCATTCTTCCCACATAGGACTTTGTACATATTTTTGGGATGTAGCCTCAAAATGCAACCATGGTTGAAAATTTAAAAAGGTTTTCTATTAATGTAAAATAATAATAATATAATTCAAAATTAAAAAAAAAATACAAAACTACAAATAAGACATGCATTACATCTGGGAATGATCACACATGACAGCATACTTTAGAAACCCTGCTGTGCACACAACTGCTAATTTATTAGCTTGAACATTAAACTTATATAATTATTATATAAGCCAACTTTTCTGTGAATATTTGCTACCTACCAGTGACACAGATCAGAGCATTCCAAGGGATGCTGTCCTCTTTGCAGTACAGTTGAGGTTGATCAGACCACATTCTCTGTCATTGCCAGTGAACTCATAGCAGATGTTTCTTTTTCCAACACAAGACACACAATAATCAGACAACAATTCAACCACATATACAAGTAAAACACTCAAGAAAACAAAGCACTAATGACCAGGTTCTTTATGTGTGAAGTGAAATGAGGCCTTCAAAGCAACTGCTGGTGATCTCAGTGAAGCCTCATTTTATGTTGGCTTGCAGGCCTTTAGGAGGGTCATTAGTCACCTGGCAATGACAACATAGATACCCACTGAGAAGTCTATGAAAAATTCAGGACACTTTTTGGGATCAGTGTTTCTTCTTGTTGTTCAGGCAGTCTTAGAGTGCAGGTATGATCCCTTGCAGTGGTTTTCACAAGAAACTAGTGTACTGTGTAACTTAAACATCAAATTATTATGTCATTTGAAAACAACATTGCTAATAAAATAATCCTAACACTAACAAACCCATTAATTTCTGTTGTATTAGTTCATTTATAGTGCTGCAGTATGTATAAATAAAAATATGGATAACCATGATCTGTTATATAGAGGATGATAAATCAGGTACTGGCAGGATTTTACAGTAGTTAAAGTACATTTAATGCATCTCAAAGATGCAAATTCATATTTATACAGACAATGCATAGTATTGATTAGACAGCCACCCAAAAAAAGGTTTATGCCAAAGCTCCCCTAAATTTTGTTTGTTTGTTTCTGGATGGTTAATCCATCACTAGGCACACGCTATTGGATTAAAATTATATTTTAAGTGCTAAAATATAAATTATGAAGTTATCCATTAATTATGAAGTCTACAGTTTTACACAAAATGCCAAATTACATCTATTAACATGCTTGCATGTAGCATGTTGGAAAAGAAAAATGTTTAGTGTCTAAATGTTTTAGTGGTTGATGTGATGTGGTGCTTGATTAATTTCTGAATTCTCTGAAAAGCCTGTGCAGAGCGGGTACAAGAATGACAGTGCAGTTCAGTGACTTCAGTAAATCTTAGTTTTAAACAAGTTTTTTACAGATTAATTTTAAAAAAAGTGTTTTTGC